AAAAATGTGTGTATCAATTTGGCTAGGCCATGATTCCTGGTACTGTGTGATTTTCCTGTACGTTGTAAACCTGCCTCTATGATGTTCATGAGGGAGGATGGGTGGCAGTTGTGTTAGTAAGGCAGGACCTGATCTACAAGACTGGATTGTGTAATGAGGCAATCTCTTAAGATATAAAACACAGAAGTGAGCAGAGAGACAGGGGGACCTCATACCATCAAGAAAGCAGTGCTGGGAGCAGAGCCTGTCCTTTGGACTAGGGTCCCTGCGCCGAGAAGCTCCTAGTCCGGGGGAACACCGAAGAAGGTCGACAGAGAGAAAAAACCTTCCCCTGGAGCTGACCCCCTGAATTTGGATTTTTAACCTACTTTAAAATAAACTTCTCTTCGTTAAAACAAACAAAAAAAAGAACTCAGCTGTATGAGCTTCTACCATGTGACCCATAAGGCAAACCAAAGGTTGTGAGACATGCATTTCCCCATCTGCTATTTCTCAAATGACAGAAGTCTTTCTCTCTAAAATCCTGTCCCTCCGCTACCCAGGGTACCATCAAGTATTTTTTTTTCCTTAAAAAAAAAGAAAAAAATGTCTAGACTTGCACTGTCCAGTATGACAGGTGACTGCCACATGTGGCTGCTAATCACTTGAAATGTGGCTAGTGTGAATTAACATGTGGCATGTGTTACATTTTATATTGAAAGAATACTTTGGATATACTGAATTAAATAAAATATATTATCAAAATTAATTTCACCTGTGTCTTACTTTTTGCTGTGGCTGCTAAAAAATTTGAAATGACACATGTGGCTTTACTATATTGTTATTGGACGGTGCCATTTCAGAAATACAAACTAAAGGGTTAGGACAGAAAATATATCAAGTTATCTATCATTCAAGGAGTCCTGGTGGTGCAGTGGTTAAAGTGCTCGGCTGCTAACCAAAAGGTTGGCAGTTCAAATCCACCAGCTGCCACGGGACAGAAAGACGTGGCAGTATGCTTCTGTAAAGATTTACAGCCTAGGAAACCCTATGGGGTAGTTCTACTCTGTCCTCTGTCCTACAGAGTTGCTGAGTTGGAATCGCTTCGATGACAGTGGGTTTAATTTTTTTGGTTTATCATTCTTTTGTAGTACGTCATCAATAATGGTCTTCTGCAAAGCTGTTTTCAGGAACTGTTCCGGTAGTTTATAAGGAGAAATGGTATAAGGTTGGATTTCTTTCAATAATAGTAATAAGTCTTAATCAGTTTATTTTATTTATTCAAAAATTTCTTTGAAAGCTCTAAATTCTTCTTACTTTTTTTCCTTCTTTCCCAGTTATTTTTGGTAAAAAGCCATTGGTCACAGAACACTTAGAGTAAATTGCTTCAAGGAAATTTAGATGTCTGGATCAAATTCAACTTCTCAAGAACATTCATATTTAGTGGTCCCACAGTTATTTCTGGTTGACCAAAAACCCATTGCTCAATGTTAGCAAGTGGGAGAAATGGGCGTGGTTGTAAAATTCCAGTTCTGAGCTGGATACTCTGCAGAAAAGGCATTTCTTTACAATGCAGCAGAAGCAGGATTTCCACATCATAGTGTGTACTTCAACTGCCCACCCCACCCCTCCCCGTCTGAGAGCAAGTTTATTAACACCCAGGGTTGTAAAATCTGGAAATTCAGGTTTTCTGGTTATCTACCTGACATTCTTCACTTAGAGTTTAATACAAGCACCACCAAAGGACTAGCGCGTTAAAGTAGTAATATCACCCTTCATGATTTGATACTATAACCAGCAAGTCATTTGTTGAACGTTTCTCTAGTGATGGAGCGGATTTACATTACTTTATCTATACACCCTAACTAAATTCTTTTGTGACAAGACAGCTGAGCACACATAAGTGCAACATCTGGTGCAGAAGAAAAGCTTTGAGAGTGACTTAAACTATTACTCAGGCTTCATTAGCTCTATAACCAAAGCAACGCAGTACAAACTTTAAATTTTTCTGGCTACAGAGTGAAAAACCTTCCTGGTAGGAAAAAAGTTCTAGAAAATCTGGGACTAAAATTCTTTTGGATGCTGAAATATAATACATAATTAATTACCATGGGAAGACTATGCAAAATGAAAGGACAGAGCTTTGGTTTCTAGCAGTAATTTTGCTGTGTGTGTACAACATGCATGATGTCCTTGAAAATTTGGTAGTCATTTTAGCTCAACCTCTCTTCAGTGTCAAATGTCTATAAATAATTTTCAGATCCTGGATGAAAAGACCTAGCTACTACGATCACTCCAGCTGGAAGTGATCTCTAACTATTTCTCTAAACTTTTTTAAAAATTTGTTTGTACCACTGCATAATGATCCCAACCAAATCAAACCACTGCATTGAGTTGATTCTAACTCATAGCAACCCTATAGGACAGAGTAAAGCTGCCCCATAGAGTTTCCTAGGCTGTAATCTTTCTCCCGCAGAGCGACTGGTGTGTTCGAACCGTGGACTTTTCGGTTAGCAACCGAGTGCTTTAACCAGTCACTACCAAGGCTTCTTATAATAATGATCATAGGCTGCTTTAACCTGTCTCTTTAGCTCCCTTATAGTTCTACGTTTTTGGAAGGCAGAGATCTCAGCTAATATAAATATCCCTCTGCAGCCCTGGTGGGCAGTGGTTAAAAGCTCCGCTGCTAACCAAAAGGTCAGCAGCCTGAATCCACCAGCCGCTCCTCGGAAACTCTATGGGGCAGTTCTACTTGTCCTATGGGATCACTATGAGTCGGAATCAACTTGACGGCAACAGGTTTTTCACAGGACAGTCCCTAATACAATGTCTTGCACTTTTCAGGCACCAACATATTTTACTGGATTGACTGGACAGTACTTGGCAACAATGTGATTGCTCCCTGCGAGTGCTCCCCACCCTCAACTCCTCTCACCAGATTTGGCTACCAGTCAGCAACAGGCGAAAGTGTTAGGTCAGCTGTCTTAACTCTAAAACAAAAATTACAGCATCAACAACATCCCTATTTAAGAGTTCAGAGAGAGGATCTAGGAAGCATCTTTGATTCTGTCCAACACCCGTAGCACACCCACGTTACAGAAAATCTGTGTTAATGCCAACTTACTGATCTCCTAAACTAGTGCAACATGTAATCATCAGTAACTCTCCTGACACACTCCCGAATGAATGGAAGCAGATGATTACCTTTAGAGTGATAAGGAGTTGGTTTCAAAGCTATTGAGTACCATCCATTCAGGTGTACCCAATGCATCTTTGTGAGCTCATCTTTTCCCTACTTCACTGCCCTAGTTGTGATTCTCAGAAGACTCCTACTGGAGACCCCTGAATCCTGTAAAACCTCAGATTGTTGTTACATGCCTTTGAATCAATTTTGACACATATCGATCCCATGTGACAGAGTACAACTGCCCCAAAGGGTTTTCTAGGCTGTAATTTTTATGAGAGCAGATCGCCAGGTCTTTCTCCAGCAGAACCGTTTCAAACCTTTCAGTTAGTAGCCTAGCACTTAATTCAATTAGGCCTGGGCAAACTTATCCTCTCTATCCGCCAATACAATTCAAGGTTGTCTCTGTACCCTCATTTGGTCTGTACTGCATAAATTCTTCAGCAATGGTCATCCTTTGGTAGTTGGTTAACTAAATCAGGTTAACTAAATGAGGTCAAACATGCATTTGTCTTGTATCAAGTTCCACTGTATGGCAAAGCATAATTTATCAGAGATTCCAAGGTCCTCTACCTCTAAGCTAAATAAACTACTAAGAACGAAAACAAATTAGGAGCCACCTTATCGTTGATTCTTTCTTGATTTTAGGGTCCATGATAAGAAGTCAATCAATTCAAAGACTATTCTGGGAGTTTAGACACATAGGATTCAGACCAAAGGCCCAAAGTTTTAGCAGGAGACCCAGGGAGCTTTTGCCTTGATGCAAACCACTTTAACGACTTTAATCATGGCAGCTGTAGGGAATTAAGTCTACTTCTGAAGATAACCTGCCAAAAGTTAGCTCTAGGGTCTGGGGTTAGAAGCAACAAAAACAAGGCAAAAGGTTTTTACTCCTAATAAAGTTTTAAAACTATTTTCTATTGCATGTTTTCTATACAGCCAACACATGAAAGCTCAAAACATTCGGCTTTTCTTTGAAATTATAGGGGATTTTCTTGGAATATCACAGTGTCTTCATTCGTTCTTTTTTCTCTCGTTTCTATACCCTTAAACTCAGCGAACACAACTTTCTTGGCAGATGCACCTTCCTCTGAAGATGTGGCCTTAGGGCGGGGCTGGCGGATACTAGCAGGCCCAAGCGCGAGGTGCAGGGAGCTATGTATAATCACAGCACCCGAATGCCCTCCGACCTTCCGGAGGCAAACAAGAGTGACCCGCTAGTCCGAAGGACTCGGGGAGTGGCGGGGACCAGGGACGGAGGTCGAGGACAGCCAGGAACAAAACAGTGCCCAGCCGGACACAAAGCCAGAAGCCGGAGTTGGACAGGACCCGGTCCCCTGCCCAGAGTGCGCGGGAAGGCGAAGGCGGCCTCCAACCCAGGGTGCTCGCTCAGGGCCCGGGATCTCGCGCGGGCTCAGGCCTGGCGCCCCGACGCTACCAGAAACACAAGCCCCGAAAGAGGGACGCCCCTGCCGCGCCAGGAGCGAGGGCTGGAGACGCAAAGAAAGCTAAAAAGGCCACGGTGGTAGCGGACAGGCTAAGCTCACCTTTCTTACCTCTTAACCTGCTCCCGCCGCCCAACTGCAGTGGCCGCAATTCACCCACCGGCTCCGCTCACGCGCGCAAGCACAGCCCGACCGGAAGCGACTCCACGCCCCGCCCCCATCCGCCTGGCCGGCGGCCTCCTGTCCAATCATCAACAAATACGCCGCTGACGCAGAGCTTCTCCGGACAGCCATTGGTCGCACAATCGCATAGCCAGGATTGGCCGGTAAGCGCCACGTCCCCGAGAGCGCGCCGGTTTGCGTGGACCGGATTCCCGCCCAACTCTGGTGCAGGGGCCTGTGGTGTGGCCAGCCCTAGCCCCTACTCTGGTGGCGTGTGGGCGCGGCCGTCCTGCCGCCACGTCCCCATTCACAGCGCCTGACTCAGCCTCCACGGGGTTTCTTGGATTACCATCTCATTATCTGCCTGCTCGCAGCACCCAAAGCAGCATTCATCCGATTGTATCAGTCACCAAACGTCTTGAACATGCCAGTTTCTCCTTTCCCTGCACTAGTGGTTCTAGTTTCTTTCTGCTTCATCTCTCACCACTGTCCCTCCCCTATCATTGGGCCACCATCATCTCTGCGTTCCCTAACAGCCTGCTCGGTCACATGTCTCTGGTCTTTGTTCATAGAGCGGCTTCCTTCGCCTGAAATAAGTGCCTTTTCTCGATTCTCCGCCTCGGGAACTCCAACAGAAGTCCCGGCTCAGATGTTAGTTTTAGAAGCCTTTCCTGACCCTCTTTAAAACAAAACAAACAAAAACGTTGCCCATGGAGTCGATTCAGACTCAAAGCGACCCTATAGGACGAAGTAGAACTATCTCATTGTTTCCAAGGCTGTACTCTTTAAAGAAACAGACTGCCACATCTTGTCCTGCAGAGGGGCTGGTGGGTTGGAGCCCCCGACCTTTCAGTTAGCAGCTGATCCTTTAACCACTGCACCACCAGTTATCCTTTCTTGACACACTAGGCATAATATGGTGCTGGGTTTGGGTTTTTTTTGGGGGGGTTTTATGTGCTTCCATACCACTTTGTATTCCTATCTTCAGTAAAAAAAAACAACCACCACCACAAACCCGTTGCCATCCAGTCGATGCCGACTCATAGCGACCCTACAGTACAGGGTAGAACTGCACAAAAGGGTTTCCAAGGAGAAGCTGAACGATTTGCGCTCCACCAGGGCTCCTATTTTCAGTACACCTTGCCAAATTTTGTTATAAAACGCTGCTTATACATTCGTCTTCCTCTAGACTAATCTCCAGGATAGAGATCTACTTTATTCATCTTTGTATCCATCCCCCTGAGCTTACTGCTCACTTCCAAGCAAATGCTTCATAATGTTAAGTGAACTGAATGGGTGGAACCCAGAAAGTTGCATGCCCCTAGTTAAAGAGAAACACCGGAAATGATTCACTTATTTGTTCATTTTCGTTTCGTGAAATTAAAACAAACATAATGAGGTGATGTTCACAACACAAATGAAATACAAACCTATGTTCTTAGCACATAAAGCACAGAGTTTAAAATCCAGTTGAGGAGACAAGTTGTACGCTCATGAAAGAATTAAATAAAAAGCAAGTTAGTTTATTTAAAAAAAAAAAAAAGTTCATTTTCCAGTCCAAGATGAGAGGTTGACAACTAATGCTACAGGAATTCAGACAAAAGAGTAACTGTAAACCTCAGTGGTAGCCAGAGAGGGCTTCTTAAGAAGGTGTGACTCAGGCTGGACTAAGTCCCAAATGAACTGTGCAGAAAGAGGAATAACAGGAACAAAGGCAAGCGGCGAGCAGAGTGTTAAGTAAATTCTCAGGCCAGATAGGGGATGAGGGAGGTGGAAAAAAAGGAGATGGGAAGGGAAAGCATAGAAGGTAAGTTTCCACAGGGAACAGACGATCTAAGGAGCCTGAACTGAAGGCAGGGGGACTTTTGGATCTTCCTCTGAAGCTTTCTAAGCTTGTGCCTACGTAGGGAGTGGAATGAGGTTGAAAGTGGTTCTCTCAGGGAGGCACATCTCCTAATAGAGACTAACTATAGGAACAGGCTGTTTCAGGAAGCATTACTCAACAAATGTCTTCTTGAGGTCAGGCACTGTGCTAGATGTTGTTGAACCCACAATGAAGAGGACATAGTCTCTGCCCTCAGGAAACTGCAGCCTAGTGGGAGGGCCACTCATCCTGGAAAGGTCCTGAGAGAGGCTGCATGAGGAAATAGGATTCTGTCAGAGATGAGGCCCTCCAACCCTGAGATTCTGTGTGGATAAGGGCCTGACCTAGGCAGGGCAAGGGGTGCGGAAATGGACAGTTATATGCAAGATGATTTTAAAAGTGGAAATAAGTCCTGGACTTAGTGACTGCTTAGATGAAGAAATGAAAAGAGAGCACTAAAAAACTAAAAGTTTTAATCCTGGGAGGCTGGGAGAATGAGCCAGATGTTTGGAAGATGAGAAAAATGATGAGCTGAGTCTAGGGTGATGGCAGAGCATCTAAAGAGAAACAGCCAATAGGCTGAAGGTTATTCTTGAACTTAGGAGAGGGGTCATTGGTCAGGAGGCAACTGATGGAACCGTGAAGACAGATGAGCATTCTGAGAAGAGAAAAGCAGATTAGGCTTTACGGGAGCCCCAGAGTTAGAAGGCAGGTGGAGGAGGAACAGGACTTGAGGGGTGACACACATAAGAAATGTCGCCATGGGCTGCACCCAAGGCTCACCTAGTCCTGGATTCTGCCTCTGAGAGAAGCACTAAGGGACTGTTGGTGGCAAGTATGATGATGTAAATCTCAAAAGGCTGATGTTCTCCTTCAAGTGTCCCAGCTCTGCTCCTATGGTGCTACTGAACATTCACTTCACAAATGAGTACATTGAGCATTTCCTATGTGCCAGAAACTTCTAGGCAGTGAGGATACAGCAGTGAACAAAATAAATAAAACTGTCTCATGGTGCTTATATTCTGGTTGTAGGAATAGCTGAGACAGCCAATAAAGAAGATAAAACATCAAAATACATTGCGAAGTGGAAGAAACCAGTCTGAAAAAGGTACATATTGTATGATCCCAACTATATAACATTTTGGAAAACGCAAGAACTATAGAGAGTAAAAAGATCAATGGTTGCCAAACAATGGTAGTCTTAGTTATCTAGTGCTGCTATAACAGAAATACCACATGCGGATGGCTTTAACAAAGAGAAATTTATTTCTTCACAGTAAGGTAAGCTAAAAGTCCAAATTCAGGGTGTCAGCTTCAGGGGAAGGCTTTCTCTCTCTCTTGGCCTTCTCATCGATGTTCCCCCAGACTAGGAGCTTCTCGGCGCAGGGACCCTGGTCCAAAGGACGTGCTCTGCTCCCAGCACTGCTTTCCTGATGGCATGAGGTCCCCCTGTCTCACTGCTCACTTCTGTCTTTCATATCTCAAGAGATTGCCTCAGGACACAATCCAGTCTTGTAGATCAGCTCCTGCCTTACTAACACAACTGCCACCCATCCTCCCTCATGAACATCATAGAGGCAGGTTTACAACATACAGGAAAATCACACAGTACCAGGAATCATGGCCTAGCCAAATTGATACACACATTTTTTAGGGGACATAATTCAAACCACGACGGCGGTCTAATTTAACCAGTGAAAAATGTCTGCCTTGAGCATTATGCTCTTTTAAGCACTATCAGTATGGAATCAAAGTGAGAACAGCAACTTGAAAGATCAGATAGGAATCTTAGGGAGCAGTGAGTTTATATTAATGGGGGAGGAACAACTCAGAAAGGGAGTGTGAGAAGGTTGCACAACTCAAAGAATGTAATTAATGTCACCAAATTTTATATGTAGAAATGGTTGAATTGGTGTATGTTTTGCTGTACATATTCTTAACAACAACAACAAAATAAAAAAATCAATGGTTTCCAGGGCCGTGGTGTGAGGAGGGATGACTAGGTGGAATACGGGATTTTCAGGCCAGTGAGACTATTCTGCATGATACCGTAATGGTGGCTACACAACATTATGCATTTGTCAAAACTCAGAACCATACAACACAAAGCGAACCCTAATGTAAGCTACAAACCTGAGTTAATAATAATGTATCACTATTTGTTCATCAGTTGTAACAAATGTATCACAGAAATACAAGATGTTAATAGGAGAAACTGTGCAGGGGGAGGGGATATTTGGGAACGCTTGTACTTTCTGCATAATTTTTCTCTAAACCTAAAACTGCTCTAAAACTAAGGTCTGCTATAAAAAAGCAAAATGTATAGAAGGAGAAGTGGTGAGGTGCTAAGGAGTAAAACAAAGCCAGGAAGGAGAACAGGGAGTGTTGGGAATTCAACAGTGGTGTTGAAATTTTTAGAAAGAGTGGTCGGGAAGGCTTATGAAGAAGGTGACATGTAGGTGAACATCTGAAGATGGTGAAGAACATTTCTGGAAAAGGGAACAGGAAGGACAAAGGCCTGAGCTGGGAGCATGCTTGGGGTGCTTGAGGAACAGCGCGAAGCCAGTGTGGCTGGAGTGCAGTAATGGAGGAGAGTAGAGGACATGAGGTTAGAGAGATAGTATGGGGCGGAGGCGGGGGGTGCTCTGGAGGGCCTTTAGGCCATTCTAAGGATTTTGGATTTTACTATGAGTGAGATGGTATGGAGACTTACCTGCTTCCTCTTCCTCCTGGACACACAGCTAGACTACCTTTCCAGCCTCCCTCGAAGTTAAGTATGGCATGTGACTGAGCTCTGGCTAAAGGAAGGAGGGCAGAAACGATGAATGCTGCTTCCAGCCCTGGCCATACAAACCTGCCATGTGCAATTCTCCAAGCTCTTTCCCTTTCTGTGGCAACCCTGGAAGGCATGTGTCTTAGTTATCTAGTGCTGCTGTAACAGAAATACCACGGGTGGATGGCTTTAACAAACAGAAATTTATTATCTCGAGGTTTAGGAGGCTGGAAGTCTGAATTCAGGGCATGAGCTTTACAGGAAGGCTTTCTCTTTCTGTCAGTTCTGGGAGAAGGTCCTTGTCATCAGTCTTTCCCTGGTCTAGGAGCTTCTCGGTGCAGGGACCCCAGGTCCAAAGGACACGCTCTGCTTCCGGCACTTCTTTCTTCGTGGTACGAGGT